GACCATAAGGGTGAATCGAGACTTTCTTTGCAGCGTTTGCGCTGAGACGCCGAGGCGCTGGAGCGCCATGTTGCCACTCGTAGAGTTTGCACTGAACAATGCAGTGCGTTCGTCTCCCGGCTACGCGCCGTTCCACGTGAACGGGCTGATTCACACTTCGCGTCCCAATGACGTCGCCATCCCATGGCTCAGGGCTTGGTAGGGGAGGAATAGCCAAACGGCTAGCTGATGTCAGCCCCTTCACCAACCGTAAAAAAAGTCGATGACTTCCTGTCTACCAGACTGAGTGTCCTACGACACGTTTGTGATGCGATGGCTGAAAGCCAAGACTTGCAGAAACAATATGCAGATGAAAAGGAAGAGGCAAAGTGAAAAGCGTTAAGGTCCGGGACCTGGTATTATTTAATTCAAATAACCTGCCTACACATGCAGCCTCTGCTATCTTCAGGACGAAGCTTCATCCACGGTACATCGAACCGTTTAAGGTTGTGGCCAAGCGGGGCCTAGCGTATACGCTGAACCTCCCAAAACGGATGCGCACCCACCCGGTGTTTTACGTGGGCTTGCTCAAGCCGTACAAGGATCTGGCAGAAGTGAACGCGGGTGCTTTGGCGCTGGAGCGGATCCCACGAGCCTTCGGCCACCAAGAAGCTGAACCAGCAACTGGTTTTGAGATGGGATTGCAACCACCTCCATTTCTAATGGCACCAAGCGCTCCACCGTCGCATGCAGCGACCTGTTCGCCTGCAGCGAAGCGTTCGCTTCCTCCATAGCTAGAAGTCGCTCCGACAGAGCGCGGTAGTCCTCAAGATGAGACAGCCGGCGCACAACGTGCTTCAAATCCCCAAACGCGTCCGCACAGCGATATGCTACTTCAGCATGACGCTCAGCGTAGCTCCGATAACGCAGGACCTTGATCCCAAGAGCTCGATGAGCATGACGAGTCACCAGACGGTGGTTGACCTGGTCGTCACCGCCCGTCACCGACACTTTTCGATGAGAACGGTGACGTCCACTATCACTTGGGAAGTCTAGTAAGACGACGTCGTCACCAGGGTCAGACCCAATAGTTTGTGAAGTGGCGCCTCAAACTCCCACGAGTTTTCGGCGTCTGGTGACGTGGGACGTCCTGATCTTACTGGCAATAGCCAGGGAGGTGAACGGGCTATGAGCTGAGCTCAAGCGGTGGCCCTGAGCTCTTGCGGTCGAAGAAAACGAGCTCGCGGGAGCATTAGTGTTTGTTAACCCATACGT